CTTGTGTTTTCCAGTCTAGCCTGTTGGGGCACCATGCCCTGTCTCCAATGTTCACCCTCATCATTCCCTGGGGATCTTTCTACTCCCCTCCCCTGGAAATTCCACTATCTTTTAACTCCATTTTTCTACTAACTTTTTGTAGACCCCTTGTACTGTGGGCATGCTGTCAGGAGAGACCAGTCCCTGGAGAAAGGCATCATACTTGGTAAATTGGAGGGAGGGGCAGGGGAAGAGAGAAAGATCCTCAACAGATGAATGGACGCAGTGGCTGCAACAGTGGGCTCAAACACAACAACTGTGAGGGTGGTGCAGGACTGCACAGCTTCATTCTGTTGCTCATGTGTCGCTGTGCGTTGGAACCGCCTTGATGGCGCCTGATAACAGCATCAGGCAATCCCTGGAAAAGAGCATTGTGCTTGGAAAAGCAGAGAAGACCCTCAACGAGATGGATGGATGCAGTGGCTTTCATAATGAACTCAAACCATAACTACAATTGTGAGGGTGAACATTTAGCCATTTTCTAGTACACAGTTTACCAGGTTACACAACCATCACTGTTAAATATTTCTAAAACTTATCGCCTCAAACAAATTCTGTACCCCTTAAGCAGTAACTTTTTGTTCTCCCCCTTCCTAGCCCATAGTTGTTACTAATCCTTTTTCAGTTTCTACGCATTTATCCTTGTTATTTCATATAAATGACGTCAGGCAGTAATTCTCCTGTTAGGTGTGATGTTTCATTTTGCATAATGTTTTCAAAGTCCATCCATGTCATAGCTTGTATTAGAATGGCATCCCTTTTGTTAGTGGAGTAATGCTCCATTGTGTACATAGTACATTTTATTCATCCATTCATATGTTGATGATTACTTGGATTGTTTCCACCTTTTGACTATTGTAAATGATGCTTCAATGAACAATGGTGTTATTGTTTATTTTTAATAACCGGTATCTTGTTTGAGAATCACATTTGGCACTGGAGTGATTAAAATGAGAATTTTTTTATCATTGGAAAAAACTGAGATTGATCTTAATCGAAACACTTAATTTCCAAAGGTCTAGGAACATAGAGCAAGCTTGGTATACTTTGCCAAAATACTGGTCCCATTTAGATTCTACTGTATACCTGTAGTGGGTTCCCAGGCAATGCAACAGATAATGTGCTTGGCTGCTAGCCAAAAGGTTGGTGGTTAGAGTCCACCCAGGGGTGCCTTGGCCCTCTCTCTACTTCCGAGATTTCGGCCATTGACAGCTCTATGGAGCACCCTTCTACTCTGACCCCACATATGGAGTTACCATGAGTTAAAACCAAACCCACAACAATGGACTTGGTAGTCCTGGAGGATTGATGGGCATTGCAGGAGTTCTCGTGCTGGAATTAACAAAAGAAAAATGACTCTGTAAGCATTTGTTACGTGCACTAGGTGCTGAGGATAAAAAGGTAGAAAAGACAAGTGCTCTTGTCCCCTAGGAGAGCACTGCAGGTGAGTCTAGTGATGGCTTAACATTGACATGGCATTTTCAAATGTGTAGACCATGTCCTAAACACTTTGTAACTTGATCCTTACTGTAATCATGTAGAATAGATATTGTCTCTGTTTTATGATTGAGAAGGTATGATCTCAAGAGTTCTTTCTGGCATACTATATGGGAGTATTTATTAGTGGTTTTGTTTTTAACAGATTATACTTTTTGAAAGAGATTAGTTTAACCAAGGAAAATAAACCATTTTCTTTTCCTCTTTTCCGACAGGATATAATTGACACAGCATGTGAAGTTCTGGCAGACCCTTCTCTTCCAGAACTATTTTGGGGAACAGTAAGTATGTCTGAGAGAGTCACACTACTACACTATTCTTTGGAGTAAAAGATTTTATGAAGCCTTACTGTGTCCTATCGGAGACATTTATAAGCGGTCCTCATTAAATCTTCATAAAAGTCTATGAGTAAGATGCCAGGTGTCGTTTGCAAAAGAAACACTGGGAAATGTGAATTGACTTGACCAAAGTCACTCAACAGAGAGACGACACTGGGACCAGGTCTGCCTAACTTATGTCAGTAACCCTGTATTGTCCGACCACCACATCTTTTTCCACAATCAGACTCTCTTAGGTGGCAGTATTCCCCAAACTCTTGAAAGTACTGTTGGCAGATTGTGACGATTCTGTTGTCTGAGTAGTTTTCTGATTGGAGTAGGGATTTGCCTTGAGTGGAAAAACAAACAGTTTTTCACCATCATTGACATCAGTCTTAAACCTCAACATCCAGCTGATGAATAAGGGTTTTCTTTCTGCTTTCTTTAATGCTGTCCAATATCCTCTAATCACAGCATTCCCGGGAGAAGCTGGAATGAAGGAGTATTTAGGTTAAGGATCTGTTATTCGTGTGTGATGGCTAAATGCTGACATGATGTGGTGGGTGTCACCTTAGTGTAAACCTGCAAAGGTAAACTGGATTGTCTTTGATAGAAAAGGTGACTAGGGAGTTGTCACTGGAGAAATCAGCAGTCTTTTTTTTTAAGTCTTGAGTTAAATGATAATAACTTTTTCTGTAACTATCTGAACATCTTAAATTATTAGAGAGAAATGATGCCTGCCTAAAGGAAAGATTTGTTTGAGGTTTTCTTGTACTGCTGGAGAGGTGTTCATTGTGGATAATGTAAAAGTGAATGACTTCTCCCTTTCCTTACTGTAGGAACCGACCTCTGGTCTTGGGATCATTCTGGACAGTGTGTGTGGAATGTTTCCCCATCTCCTTTCCCCACTCTTGCAATTGCTCCGCGCCCTTGTGTCAGGGAAATCCACTGCCAAAAAGGTGAGTTGTTCAGCCCAAAAGAGACTAGGAGGTATTTGGGGTTCTTTTTTCAATAGGAGCCCTTTTTGCTTTCCACATTGAAATCCCACTGTTGTGACAGGAGTTAGTCTGAAGTTGAATGAAAGATGCCAAAGATAGCCTCTCACGTCTATACAATTAAATAAAAAGATTTTTATTTATTAAGTTCTAATTTGGTAGGATATGATAGGCAAAGTCATAAAAATTATAAAAATATAAAATTTCCTAGAAGCTAGTTCAAAGGGAGTAATAGATACAAGAAATAACTAAATTAAACCAATGAATGTCTAAATAACAAAAAAACCCTGACAAATATCGTGTGAGTACTAAAGAGAATACTGCCCAGGAATGGAAACGCTCTCTTTGGGCTGAGGGCAGGACTTGATCTAGGTGTTAAAGAACGTGGAAACTTTGAAGAGGAGGGCAGAAGGCAATTTCAAGAAGAGCCGTAACAGCAGACGTGTAAGGGGTTTCAGAGTTGGCATGCTCACAATCTGAAAGAGCAAAGAAGTAGATGTGAGACCCACCTCGCATGACCCCTGGAGGGATGGGTGACTGGGGACTTTGTGTATGTTGGCAGGTATATAGCTTCTTGGATAAGATGTCTTTCTACAATGAACTCTATAAGCACAAGCCCCATGATGTGATCTCTCATGAAGATGGAACTCTCTGGCGCAGACAGTCACCCAGACTTCTGTACCCTCTGGGTAAGATCACACATCCTTGGCTCAGTAGCCATTTTATGACCACTTCACTGTTGCTGTTTTAATTGTTTAATGCAGGGTGCCTTTAAAGCAGGGCCTTCTCCTTGCCCCCGTGTGTGTTAATTTGTTGGTACATACTCATACTTTCTCTCATTTGTAATGAATCTCCCCACCTCCACTCTCCCATACATAATTAGGTTGTTGTTTATTTCCAATAGCATGTATAAGGGTAAGTCAAGAAGTACTACGACTAGAATTCCATTCCATGTGTGCATAGGTTTATTCCAAACAAAAGGTGTTTAAACATGTCTCTTTATGTTCAGTGGATGGTTGCAGAAAAGTTTTCTCAGTACTTCACTTGTCTTAGTCTGATTAGGATGCCTTAAAAAAGCAACAAAAAAAAATACAATCAAAACATTGGCTTCTACAGGTTTCTGCTGTGCGAGTTAAATTCAAGGCACACAGATCAGCGCAGAAGATTATGACTACTGTTTTTGAGGCTTTAATAAGGTGTGATCAATGATCATGAAGTTTATTAGGAATAAGTTTTTTTAAAAAACTGAAAATTGCATTGCTGAGAAAAAGGCCAGGAATGTTTTGCCAGGGAATTATTTTCCATCACTACAAGTCCCTGTTCATTCTTTGAGAGTAGCAAGGGCTACCCTCTGAGAATTTTGTTGGGAAACCTTACCTACTTCACGCCACAGCCCCCTGATCTTGCCCCTTCAGACTTTTTTGTTTCCAAAACTCAAAGAATATTAAAAAGGAGCCCGATTAAGTTTATTGAGTATGCAAACCTGCCATGTTGACATGGTGAAAATGAGAGTATAGAATTCTGGGGAGGATTAGAGCAGTCTTTCCCAAAGTGACGAATAATCCCCCCCTCCCCCAACCTCCCAAGGTGCTAAGGCAATCCATGGGGGGAACTGAGGCTGCTACAAGAGCATATACCTAAACTTTTTTATTTTTTATCATTTTATTGGGGCCTCGGACAGCTCTTATCACAATCCATACATCCATCCATTGTGTCAAGCACATTTGTACATTTGTTGCCATCATCATTCTCAGAACACTTTCTTTCTACTTGAGCCCTTGGTATCAGCTCCTCATTTTCCCCCTCCCCGCTCTCCTTCACTCATGAACCCTGATAATTTCTGTTGTCCATACTCCTGGGAAGGGTTATATATTGATCATTGTGAATGGTTCCTCCTTTCTCCCCTCACCTTCCCCTTCCCCTTCCCCTTCCCATCCTGGTATTCATCACAACTCTCATTATTTGTCCTGAGGGGTTTATCTATTCTGGATTCTCTGTGTTGCAAGCTCTTCAGATACCTACACTTTATCCTGCATTATAGACTATAGTATAAAAGTTTGCCAGGGAACACTGAGTAATTTTTTTCTGTAAAGGGGGCAGTATTTCAATTAGGTTTGGGAGCCTGTGGGTTAAAGAGATGTATGCCTCTTTAGAAGTATTTAGACCTAGAAGGGACAACCTTGCCTTTCCAATCTTATCACTAAAGGTATTCCTGTAATCATCATTTAAATGGAAAATCACTCTGTACTCAGCTCTTAGTCAGACACATGGAAAGAGTCAATCCCCCAGCTGACATGAGAGTTTATTTTGAATGGCAAAGCAGTAGGAATATTAACTCTTAAAAAAAGGGCAGTGTATTATTGTGTGGTTACATTTTGGTGTTTGATCAAAGAGTTGCCTCTTTACAGGCTACCCAAAGTAGTTTTTTCTTCTTCTTTCTTTAGGAGGTCAAACCAACCTTCGCATACCTCAAGGCACCGTGGGCCAAGTCATGCTGGATGATAGGGCTTATCTAGTACGTTGGGAATATTCCTACAGCAGTTGGACCCTCTTCACTTGTGAGATTGAAATGCTGCTTCATGTTGTTTCAACTGCAGGTGAGGCCAGCTGTGGGAGACATCAATATGGGAAGGAAAAGTAGAGATGCTTAAACGAGATAGATCGACCATTTCAAGACCATACATTCAGGACCATCAAGATTGAGATTTGTCTGATTTTACTCTCAGAGACTATTGGCATTCACATATCACAGAATTCAGTAATTCGCCTCTGTTAGGAAGCGTTGTACGACCGTCACCTCGGTCAGTTTTCGGAGAGTCTCATTATTCAGCCATCTTAAAGGATTGTTTTCCATGAGGTCACAGGCTGTCTTTCCCTTCAGATGTGATTCAACACTGCCAGCGCGTCAAGCCTATAATTGATCTGGTTCATAAGGTCATCAGTACCGATCTATCGATTGCTGACTGCCTCCTGCCAATCACATCTCGCATCTACATGCTGCTGCAGCGGTGAGGCCTTGCGGAGAACTCTCAGCAATTCTCTCAGTTGCCAGGAACTAGTGGGTGAAAATTACATGGACTGCTCTGTGGGGACTCCCAGCTGAGGGCTTTCACAGGCCTGCAGCCCTACTGAGAAGGAGGGGTTTGGGAAGAGAGAACTGGAAAATATGTTTGATGGAACAAGTTCTGTTATTGATCTTGCTGAGTGCGATGCACTGTTTCCCACCCAGGCTAACGACTGTGATCTCCCCCCCTGTGGATGTCATTGCTTCGTGTGTCAATTGTTTGACTGTTTTGGCTGCCCGGAATCCAGCAAAGGTGAGGTGCCAAGTCTTCCCAACCGCTCCAGAAGTGTGACATTTGGGGTGTTTGTGAAGATACATAGACGTTTGACCCTGTTTTTTTATCCTCCTCAGGTCTGGACTGATCTTCTTTTTTTATCCTCCTCAGGTCTGGACTGATCTTCGTCATACAGGGTTCTTACCATTTGTGGCTCACCCTGTCTCCAACATGAGTCAGATGATTAGGTGAGCCAGCTCTCACTCAGAGTGGATAGCGTACACGCACCCTCAGGAGGAGCATGTACATTTCAGGTCTAGCTTACTTTGCTCTGCTAGTTTTTAGGGAACCTTCTCTTAACGTATTTTACTTTCTTTGTTCTTATACCCTGGTGTGTTGGGCTGCTAATTACAAGGTCAGTTGTTTAAATCTACTGACTGCTCTTTGGGAGGAAGATGAGACTTTCTGACCCATAAAGATTTATACCCTCCTTTTTAAAAAAAATCATTTTATTGGGGGCTTGTACAACTCTTACCACAATCCATATATACATCCATTGTGTCAAGCACATTTGTACATTTGTTGCCCTCATCCTCAAAATATTTGCTTTCTCCTTGAGCCCTTGGTATCAGCTCCTCATTTTTCCTTCCCTCCCTGCTCCCCCCTCCCTCATGAACCTTTGATAATTTATAAATTATTATTATTCTAAATATATATATTATTATTTTATCATATCTTACACTGGCCGACATCTCCCTTCACCCACTTTTCTGTTGTCCATCCCCCAGGGATCAGGTTATATGTAGATCCTTGTAATTGGTTCCCCAATTTATAGGCTTCTAAGGGTTTCTAAACCCACAGAATCAGTTCTCTTCTGCCCTTTATGGTCACCATGAATTGGAATCAGCTAAATGGCAATGAGTTCGGTTTTGGTTTGGCTGTGTACCTGTTTAGTCCCGTGACTAGAATTTGGAGAGATGACTGAGGAAAGGTCAAAAAGATATTGGGACACGGACAGAGAGTCTTCTTTCTTCTCTCAGCGCATCACTACTGGCTTAGAGTCTGAGAGCAAGTGGGAGAGCATTCTCATCCAGTGGCAGCTGTAGTAGGTACTTGGGAATTTACCTCCCAGCCTAGAGAATCCAGAAATCTTTGGATCTAGGAAATTGAATTTTTTCTTAAGCCACTAGTACTCAGTGCTTTTCCTTATTTCAAAGGCACTTGATCTTGAAGAGTTTTCTGCCTTATGTGTGAGCCATCTAGACAATTAATTACAGTTTCTTTAAACCTTGTAATTGACCGGTGATTTGTTTGCTCTGCCTCTTAATTTTTCCCAGTGCGGAAGGTATGAATGCTGGAGGCTATGGAAGCCTCTTGATGAACAGTGAGCAACCCCAAGGGGAGTACGGGGTCACCATTGCCTTTCTGCGCTTGGTCACTACTCTTGTCAAGGTAAAATCTGGTCACATGGCCCTGAAATTGTTTCCATGACATCTGTGGCTATAGTCATCTTGTCTGTTGTCCTAGCATCACAGTGACACAGTTTTATGTATTGAGGTTCTACTATGTGCTGAGTTATATCCCTCCACTGCCATTGAGTTGACTTCAACTCATATTGACCTCATACAGGGTTTCTGAGACTGCAAATCTTTATAGAAAGTCACAGCCATATCTTTTCCCATGGAGCAACTGTTGGGTTGGAACCATTAATCTTGTGGTTAGCTGTCCAACACCTAACACCCAGTGCCACTAGGTCTCCAGTAGGCGCTTTATCTGTGTGAATATATTTAATATTCTCAGGAGACCTATAAAGTCATATGGTTTAATACCATGATTATCAGGTAAACATTGGACTGCTTACAAGGCCAGCTGTTCAAACCCATCAGTCAGACTATAGGAGAAAGGTGAGGTTGTGGGACGTCATGAAGATTTACAAAACCTTGGAAACCCTGTAGAAGGTCGCTCTGAGTCAAAATGAGCTCGAAGGCAGTGGGTTTTATTTGGATTGTAGCCCAGGTTAAAAAGTACACGTGTATATATGTACGAGGGTGTGCCCCCCCCCCAAATCCGGAATTTTCCTTGGCAGAGTGGAACTTTCGTAGTATACACCCCCACCCTTGCAAGGTGAACATCAAGCAACTCACTTTGAGTTGGTGCACCCAATTGCCTAGGAAGCAACTCACTTTGAGTTGGCGCACCCAGTTGCCTAGGAAGGTTCCCTCTGGTCACAGTGAATTTTTTCATAAAAGCAGTTTCTCTCGAACCTCATTTTGTGTGATGGCCACAGAAACAGTTGTGATGTTGAACACAGCTTACAAGGACAGCGCTAGGTGAGAAACTCAAGTGTGTGAGTGGTTTTTTCATTTCAAGAAGGGTGAAATGCTGATTGATGACAAACCTCGTTCTGGACGTCCGTCAGCTTCCTGAACGGATGAAAATGTTGAATAGTGCATTTGGAGTTCATTCCATCAGGTCAGGCTGTTGATCAAGCTTTCTATTTAGAGGTTCTGAAAAGATTGTAACGGTGTGTGACCCAAAAAAGAGCTCATTTGTGGCAGTCAGGGGACTGACTGCCACCAGAAGAGTGCACCTGCTCACGCAGCCATCTCAGTGCAACAGTTCTTGGTAAAACATAGCATGCCTTCTCTTCGCACCTTACTCATCTGATCTTGCTCCATGCAACTTTTTGTTTCCTCGAGTGAAGAGGGGCATGAAAGGACAGCGATTTGACTACATAGAAGAGATGAAGAAAAAAATGAGGGGAATTTGAAAATTGTTTCCCAGAATGGAATCGCAGATTTGACAAATGTATTAAGTGTAATGGAGAGTACTTTGAAGGTGATAAAGTTGTTTTGTAAAAAAATTTAGAGGTCGTGTGGGGGAGAAAAGGGGGGAGAAATGGGGAGCTGATATCGGGCTGAAGTGGGAAGAGAATGCTTTGAAAATGATGGTGGCAGCATATGTGCAAATGTGCTTGATAAATGTATGGATTGTGATAAGAGATGTAAGAGTCCCAATAAAAGTAAGAAAAAAAATTTAAACACATAGTTTGAGGCGGGTATCCCCTCGTGTACTGTTCAAGCAAAACAACACTACGCAACCCGTGACTGATTTCACAGTTTGAAAAAGTCTGGTGCTAAAGATTAAGAGCATGAGATTTTTATTCAGACAGAAACTGATTGACTTTTCAGCTTGACCACTTATAGATAGATGCCGGTTATAGTTTTTCTCTCGATTTGCTCAAAGAGTCATGCAGGAAAAGCACCCAGCACTGTTCCAGATCCCAGGACAGCAGGGAATGTTTTTAAAAAGGGAAAATTATATGGAAAAATATGGCTATAAGTCTTAAATGTTTATGTATAAAAAAGTGGTCTCCTTTTTTAAGGTCTGGAGAAACTGATGTAAGTAGCATTTGGGCCAACGGTTTGGGGGAATCATCTTTCTGGGATTTCAGTGATGGGTAGAGGAAGGGTGATTGTTGTTCATATGACCGCGACAGTGAAGATTCTCCATCACGGACAAGCCCGACTTGTACATTTTAAGGTACTTCCTTTTGCCCGGATTTCGCCTTCATCTCTCTTCCTCATGCAGGTCTTGTTTGTGACATAGTCACGTGTCATTTGGGGATTTTTCTCAATTATAAGGAAACTCAACAACTTAAGCTCAATTGAACTAGGGTATTGTCCTTCTTTCACTAGTGGTCAAGGCTGATCCAGATGTCCTGTGGTCTTACAGGTTTGGAATTAAATCTTTAACTACATGACTCCCACATTTCCATGGCAAAAGCCTTCACAGCAGGCTCTCTTGTAGGGGCAGCTGGGTAGTACCCAGAGCCAAGGGCTTGTGCCTTGTGTCATGTTCGTGCTGAAGGAGATGCTCCCCAGCTACCACAAGTGGCGCTATAACTCCCACGGAGTGAGAGAGCAGATTGGTAAGGACAGCATGGGCAGGGGAGGCTTGGGGAGTTTCTGTTCCCCCTTTCTTGAGAGAAGGCCGCATCACCTTACGTGTTTTCTGGAGTCCAGGTTGCCTGATCTTGGAGCTGATCCATGCAATACTGAACCTGTGCCACGAGACAGATCTGCACAGCAGGTAGGAGGAGCGATTGCTCGTCATTGGTGCTCCTTGGTGCTTCCGTCATGAGGGAAGAATTGGGCTTTCCTGTCTTCCAGAGAACTCGGCTTCATTGAACCCAGAGCTCAGTATACCTGGTTATGATTTACCTTTTTTTTTTTCCATGATTGACTTTGCATTGGACTTTTTTCCCTATCTTCCTTTGAAGAGAGAACAAATGAAGTGGGATAAAATTGTGTGTGTGTGTGTGTGTGTGTGTGTACACACTGCTCTATCTTCTAGTGACTGTTTATGTTTGTCTTTTTGATGGTTCCATGGCATTCCACTGGATGGATTAATCATAATTTATTCAATAAACATTTTCATTAATTGATGGATATTTAAAGTGTTGCTCAGAGAGGTCTTTAGGATCATGTCTGTTCCACAAAATTGATCAGTTTTTTTGCAAAGAAAGCTGATCTTTGTGGCAAGTATGCGGTTGATTAGGTCTGCTACCCTAGCCCCGCTGCACAGAACCCTCTCTTCCTAAGCATAAACTTGATGACTCCCTAATAATTCGAAACATGTCTGTCTTTCAGTGACACACCCAGCCTTCAGTATCTCTGTGTCTGCAGTCTGGCCTACACAGAAGCAGGACAGACAGTTATCAATATCATGGGCATTGGCGTGGACACCATTGACATGGTAATGGCAGCTCATCCCCGAAGGTACGACTTCCTTTCTACTTTCCTGTCTTCCATGTCTCTTTACTGTGCCTAAGACTGCATAGTCTAAGAACTCTAGTTTAGTCACCTTTTTTTTTTTTTCCCCAATCGTTTTATTAGGGGCTTATACAACTCTTATCACAATCCATACATACATCAATTGTGTAAAGCACATTTGTACATTCATTGCCCTCATCATTCTCAAAACATTTCCTCTCCACTTAAGCCCCTGGCATCAGGTCCTCATTTTCCCCTCCCCCCCTCCCCGGTCCCCCCTGCTCCCGTAAAGTCACCTTTTTTAAGACAACCATGATCCTCTTAGGACATAGCCCTTAGATAGCCTGCAGAGGGAGTTGATTGTTCTTCCTCTCATGGTTGGGACTGGTGACTGTAAGAGAAGTCGTTGAACTCTGGGATTATTGTTGGAATGTCATTCACGAGAGCACACATGTTATGAATGGAGTCACATTGTCTGAGTCAACTTTGGTTTCCATTTGGCACCTAGTGACGGGGCAGAGGGCCAGGGACAAGGCCAGCTGCTGATTAAGACTGTGAAACTGGCATTCTCCATTACCAACAATGTTATCCGGTTGAAGGCTCCCTCTAATGTGGCATCCCCCCTGGAGCAAGCTCTCACACAACATAATGGTATGTATTTCCATCCCCTTCGTTTCTGACTGCTTTTGGAGGTCAACTCTTATCTGAGTAATTGCTTGAAGAAATGGTCATCCATTTCCACAGTAGTTTAGAACCAAGAGAACCCGGGTCACTGTATTTTTGTCTCCTGATGATGACAGAATGATAGTTAAGAACAAGACTTCAAAGTAAAACTGCCTGGGTTTGAATTTTGGGTCCAGCCAGCTTTGTGACCTTGGGCATATTACTTATTACTAAACAAATCTATCTCTGGCTCCTCAGTTCTAAAAGGGGCCTAATAGTAGTAATCTCATGTATAAGATTATGGAGAAGATTAAAAGGGTCTTTGGTGGTCTAGTGGGTTACATGTTCAGCTGCCAGTTGCAAGGTCAATAATTCAAATCAAAGATCTACTTTGTGGGAGACAGATGAGACTTTCTGCTCCCATAAAGATTTACAACCTTGGAAACCCACAGGGACAGGTCTTCTCTGTCCTGTAGGGTCAGTATGAATCAGAATCAACTCAATGCCAGTGAGTATAGTGACGGTTAAATAAATTACATGTAAAATATGTTCCTTGTACCTGTGAAGGGTTGACCCTTATTACTTTGTGACATTAAATATGTCATTAATCCCTTTGGGATGCACTTCCATCTTTTTCAAGGAGGTGATTAGATAATATATATAAAGCCTTACTAACTGTATAATTTTGGTTGGTTTTTAATTTTTGCAATTTGGTGGACTGCTTTGGAATAATGTCATTTCTAATCCATTTGTTAGAAGACCACCTGTTTTCTTCAGCTTGTAAATTGAATTGAATTGAACTGTTTACCCCGATGTCTGCCCTGTTTACTTTGCTACTGACAAAATGACAAGCTGAGAGGGACACAGGGTTTTTGTACTTGTGGGTGAATCCTCTCTCATTTATGAGCCTCGTTGAATAGCCACCTCACTGAGAGCGTGAATCGGGTTCACTTGGTGTCTCTGGTGTCTCCGTGCTGCTTTAGGTGCCCATGGAAACAACCTGATTGCTGTTCTAGCCAAATACATCTACCACAAGCATGACCCTGCTCTGCCACGTCTTGCCATCCAGCTGCTGAAACGTTTGGCCACGGTAGGGTGCCACTTCCTCACCCAGAACCCCAAAGAACCTACTCTTTCAACTTGTGACTACTCTTGCCTTCTTCCAAAAGAAATTGTTGACTTGGACTTTGGACTTTTAAAGCAATGTAGCCATGTGCATACACTGAAATGGGGGTGTGTGCTTATGAGAATTTTGTCTTCTTTTTTCTCCTGGATTACAAAAGACAGGTGTATGCATTATAAAATTTTAAACATTACAGATAAATGTAACATAGAAAGTTAAGGTATCCCATGATTCCCTCGTTCTGAGAATACCTGTGAGCAAGTTGGGACATATTGCTGCAGGTGTCTTTTTTACCTGTGTTTATATAGTATAGGGTGTTTGGGTGTGCGCTTTTGTTCTTAACAAAAGTAGAATTCCACTGGACATACCATTTTGTGACTAGCTTTCTTCACTTAACATCACAGTTTGCTGTCTTTCCATGTGGGCAGACTGCAACTGCCTCATTCTTTGTAATGTTTACGTGGCGTAACATTGCATGGCTTGACTGCATCATGACGTACTTGGGCTTGTCCCTGTAATCGTCTTATATCCTTGCCACAAGGGGCATCATCTGTTTTTAAAATCTTTTTCAGTCTAATATACCAAAAAAAAATGTTATGGCCTGTTTACTTGGCATTGATTTATTCATGGGAGAGGTTGGACATTCTCCTATGTGGATGACTGCCATCCTGTAAATTGTTGAGATCTTGTGCTGTGCTGCTCTGGGAGATGCCCCTTCTGACCTAGAACTGTGTTTCTGGATGTTTTTTTCTGCTCTTCTTGGAGTTCTCCCCCACCTCCTGCAGGAACCTCCTGGTGGGGATAGAGATCTAAGCCTGTGTGCCTTGGTCTCCACCAGGTGGCCCCAATGTCGGTGTATGCCTGCCTGGGCAGTGATGCGGCTGCTATTCGTGATGCCTTCCTGATCCGACTGCAAAGCAAGATTGAGGATATGCGCATCAAAGTCATGGTCCTGGAATTCCTCACAGTGGCAGTGGAGACCCAGCCGGGCCTCACTGAGCTGTTTCTGAACCTGGAGGTGAAGGACGGCAGTGATGGTTCTAAGGTGAGTCTTGTGGTTCTCCCCATGTATTTGTGTATGAGTCTCAGAGCTGGAGGTGGTACAGAGTTCTATAGGTGCCACTGCTGCATTGGCTATATGGGCCTGGCTTCTCACCTGGACTCCTTACAGCAGTGGTTCCCAGCCCTCCTAATGCCGCAACCCTTCACTACAGTTCCTCATGTTGTAGTGACCTCCCCAACCATAAAATTATTTTCGTTGCTACTTCCTAACTGTAATTTTGCTGCTGTTATGAATCGGGTGACCCCTGTGAAAGGGTCGCGACCCACAGGTTGAGAACCACTGCCTTACAGGAATTCAGCCTTGGCGTGTGGAGCTGTCTACATGCGGTGCTGGAGCTGATTGACTCCCAGCAGCAGGATCGATACTGGTGTCCACCCCTGCTGCATCGGGCCGCCATCGCCTTTCTGCATGCCCTGTGGCAGGACCGCCGCGACAGTGCCATGCTGGTACTCCGAACTAAGTAAGGCTGGCCCTGGACACTGGATGCCTGGGTCGTAAAGCGACAATAGCAGTGGTTACTGGGAGATGGGTTGTGACAGTTCACTGGCCATGTGCATTCCAAGTACTTCCTGCCTGGTTTTATACCTGGAGTCTGACCCCTAGTTACTCTTATTACTTTTGCTAGCTGTTCCCTCTGTGCTCTTCCCATGAGACCCGCAGTCTCATGGGCTGTTGACACAGAGGGAGTGAGTATTTTAGAGGGAAAATATGGGACTATGATGTCCTTATTCCTGCTGCACTCTTTTTTTGTGGTGCTTTGGGGGAAAGTACAATAGAATAAATCATGTATAAAGTATATAAGTGGGAAATTCATTTTCTCTATGGAACCCTTGACACATGCACCTATGTACTAACAATTGGCTCATGAGACACATGCTCAAACCAAGGATGGTAAAATACAGAGACATATTCACTAAATCAGAGTCAGAGGAGAACAGGGCTGTGTGAGAAAAAATGTGACTACCAATATCTATTTACTTTTTAGGCCCAAGTTTTGGGAGAATTTAACCAGCCCGCTCTTTGGAACCCTTTCTCCTCCTTCAGAAACCTCTGAGGTAAGCTGTGTGGAGGGCTGGGACAGTGGCTAGAAGTCCCTGGGAGGAAGGGCTGGACTGTAAGTTGTAGAAAATTATACCTCCCTGAATTAAACAGCCAGATTTTGTCTTCCCGAGGAACTTTCTTCTCAGAAAAGTACTTTTTCTTTCTTTTTGTTTGGATGTCTTGTTTTGGGAAGAAAATTGGTATCCACCCTCCTATGTCAGGGCCCAGTGATCGTCTTCACTTATTTGGGGGCTTTGCAAGCCTGGCACTTCTTGCAGGTCTGGTGGCTGTTGATGTTTGATAGACAGAGAATGGGGTCTCTTCTTTTGCCGATCTTGGGTCCTGCTCTGTGACATTGTAGGGGTGAGGGGGACACCAGAGAGGTTTCTCCACGTGATTGGTTTTTGTTCTGCCCTTCCACAGCCCAGCATCCTGGAAACCTGTGCCCTAATTATGAAGATCCTTTGCTTGGAGATATACTATGTTGTTAAGTGAGTTCATTTCCCCTTTTGGGATTTTCATTAAATGTTGGGGTGGGAATACTAGGGTAGTCCATCATTGGGCCAAAACAGGAGAGAGCCGATTTAGAACCTTTTCTGGAGGACCAGTGAACTGTGTCCTGAGCCATCCTTTGATGGCATTTTTGATTGTTAGAGGAACATTATGAAGCAACCTCCATGTGACCAGGATTTTTACGGAGGGGAAATTCTGGAAAGGCCTCAGCCTAAGCCATAACTCGAAGGATGAACCTCATACATTGGCGTTGACCCTGGAGTCATCTGCCTTTAAGCCAATGTGAGGTTGCTTTCTCTACCTCAACAAGGGTCTGTGCCCATCATCACATGCCTATCAAAATCAAACTGGCTTTTGTTGTTCTTGCCACTCTAGGGGCTCACTGGACCAGTCATTAAAAGATAGGCTCAAGAAGTTTTCCAGTGAAAAACGCTTTGCCTACTGGTCAGGTTTTGTCAAGTCCTTGGCCGTTCACATGGCAGAGACAGAAGGCAACAGCTGTACCTCTTTGGTCGAGTACCAGATGCTGGTCTCTGCCTGGCGGATGCTTCTCATCATTGCCACCAGTCACGTAAGAACCTCCTTGAGCGAGTTTTCACTTTGGTTTCCTAGTGACGATATGGGGAGGTGCCTGGCAGATACAGCCACTGGGGATAAGAAACGAACCTGGTTGTCCCTGAGAGCTAGATGTAACAGCTTCTGTGCTGTTCTCTTGGGGTCTGTGAGGGTGTTGAGTCCAACAGTATACATTCAAGAAGAGTGCCAAGAAGGAACTTGCTAAGATCCCTGCAAACGCCATGGAAGCCTCTGTTAGCCGCCTTTGCTGTCTTGCGTAGATCTGAAGGGCTTCTTACCTTATGCTGCCTCTCATGCAAATAGTACAGTTGTCTTCTCATGGTAGATGGCTGAGTAAACATTTGTGGATTAGCCAGCAGTTAGCTGTAGTAGCTACAGCAACACCCTCTCTAGAGAGCAGTTTGGGTTTGTTTTCATTGGCTCTGGAAATGACATTTCTTGGGCTTCCAAGAAAAAGACTAGAGGTTAGTCTCTGTAGTGTCTCTGCACCACGAATTGGCCTCTCGGGCAAGTGACAGTGCACACACTGTGGAAGCATTTGCATTTTTTTTTTTTTTCTTGGAAAGTTTTGTGGTGTGAGGACTTGGTGAGTTATAAGAACCATGTGTTACACTGTCCCTGGGGAATCCATTCAGTGTCTTGGACTTCATTAACGACTTCAGCTTGATGGATGCTTCCTTGTTCCCTAGAGGCGGTGCACCCAGCACCCACCCACGTCCTTGGGGCTTGGGTCCTGGAGTGTTCTTGCTGTGGTCGTGGGCTCCTGAGGCTCACCAGACTCACCAAAAGACTCAGTCGGCTTTGGGGAATGATTCCCCGGTGCCTACCTTGGTGTTACCTGTTCTTTGGACCCTAGCCAGTTAGCAGTTTTGAGTTGTAGCTCTGAAAATCCTGCCATCCTCTTTCTTAGGAAAGTTGGGGAAGTCCAAGGCATTGATCATTTATTCACTTTAGGACTATTAATTAAATGGTTGCCAGGCACCAAGGATACAGCAGCAGTGAATGAGGCATGTCATCCTTGAGCTCATGGAGAGGGGCCTGGAACAGAGCCAGATGATAAACAAATTCACAAATAAGCAGTACATAGTTTCTAATGACGAGAATTTGCTGTGAGGGAAATCAGGTGGTGTAGTAGAGACTCACTTTAGATAGGACTGGTTGAGAGGCTGCCTTTGGGGATGTGATACGAGACCTGAGTATTAGGATGAAGCCTTATAGGTGAAGACGTGTACACGTGAGTAGTCGAGACCGAGGGAATCCCAAGGATGGAGGTCTGGTTGGGAACAGCATTTGATGTTTGCAGGAGGAAGAAGGAAGCAAGGGGGGCAGGAACCTACCTCATAGCAAAGTCAGGTGGACTAGATCAGACGGCACCTCCAAAGCCATATTGAGGAGCTCGGTGTGTTTCTGCTACATGGGAAGCAGGAAAGGGCTGCTGTCATGAAGAGGAGGTGAATCGTGACTTGATTCTAAAGGTGGCCTAAGAAAGATGAAAATCCGTTTTAATCAAGGAGACAGTGACTTGTCGATGGTGTAATGCCTACAGAGAATCTCAGGGTTTTTAGCTTCTCAAGTCTGGAAATGTTTGTCAAGCAGAATCCCTTTTCTGCTCTTCTGCAGGTGGACATAATGCACCTGACCGACTCTGCAGTGCGTCGCCAGCTCTTTCTTGATGTGCTTGATGGGACCAAAGCCTTGGTAAGTGCGTCTAAGGGCTACCATCGTCCTTCAGGGGGGAGGGCTCTGACGTCATATCGCAGAGCCGAGTCTGCCAGCTGCACACGGGGCCAGACCAAAGGGTGCGCTGGGGAAGCCAAGGCCTGCTGTTGCTATGCTAGCCCCTGGCTTCTCCCCTTTGCCCCATCCCTGTGAGCAAGCACACTGCAGTGCTGGGGCCAGTGGGTGGAGCACGAGCCTTCCCACTGAGTCAGTTCACATGAAGCGGGGTTCTCAGTGCTCTGCTGTCTCCCCGCAGCTCCTCGTTCCAACTTCAGTGCACTGCCTCCGCCTTGGCTCCATGATGTGTACTCTGCTGCTGATCCTCCTCCGGCAATGGAAGAGGTAAAAAAAGGGCCTGGAGAGGCGAGCTTGAGACCGGGGCCTCCCCACCTGTGCCTGCTTGCTTCTCTATAGCAGCTCCTCACCTCACTGGACAGGAGCACTGGTCTAAAATAAGCCTGGTGACACACACACACACAGCCATACAGCCACGAGGTGGCATCCTGCTGTGGGATAAGGGCAGTGTGTGACCCTTATTTGTGATGTGTGTTTTTCCCTCCTCTGCTCCCCCTCATGATTTCTAGAGAGTTAGGTTCTGTGGATGATATTCTGGGCCCCTTGACGGAGATCCTAGAGGGAGTGCTGCAGGCAGACCAACAGCTCATGGAGAAGACCAAGGCCAAGGTGTTTTCCGCATTCATCACCGTGTTGCAGATGAAGGAGATGAGAGGTGAGCAGTCAGCTGAGGTGGGTGAGCAGCAGTGGCACCCTCCTCCTACTGGTGGCTTTGTTGGCCCTCTTGGAGCTCTTCTGGAAAGCTCATTTTCTTCCTCACATTTTTCCTCATCCTGTCCTCATCTAAGGGAACTCTGCCTCCTCTCCCATGCCTCTACTCCTCTATGACCCCCTCCATTTGCTCTGCAGTAGGTGACATCCCCCAGTACTCCCAGCTGGTGTTCAGCGTCTGCGAGACCCTCCAAGAAGAGGTGATTGCACTCTTGGACCAGACCCGTCACAGCCTGGCCTCGGGCACTACCCCAGAGGACAAGGACAGTATGGAGACAGACGATTGCTCTCGGCCTCGGCACAAGGACCAGCGGGATGGGGTAAAGGAATACTCTCGGGAGCAGATTAGCCCGGACCTGGAGCCTGGGCTGATTCGTGGAATGGTGGTGGTCACTGTACTGATGGTGCTGTCAGCCTAGTGATTGACAGCTGGTAACAGGAGACTACAGAGGAAGACTGGCCTTTACAGTGGCAGCTTCTGCTGCGGGAGGTACAGGAAGAACTGACCATGTGGTGCTAACGTCATCTGGGCACTGAGGGAAGGCTTCCTGGAGAGAGTGCCTTTTCAGTGCCAATCTAAAGAATAGTCCAGCCAAGCAAGCAGTGTGCAGTAAGGCCCAGGTGTGGAGCATCTTGGGACCTAAAGGATAGGTGGTGTCGGCACAGAGTAGAACCAGGGGCAAGTGGTGGGGCCTGGAGTGTGAGGGAAGGCTGAAGCGGGAGCTGGATGATGTGCAGCCTGGATTGCGGTACATCGTTAACTGTGATGGAGTCTGTTATGGCTCAAGGCGATGTGACAGTAACCGCATCACACTGTTTCCTGGACTGTAATCTTGAAAGAAGCAGACCAACGGTCTTTCTTTTCTTAGAGCCTCCGTGTGAGTTGCAACAACCAGCCTTTTGGTTAGCGGCTGAGCACTTAGGAGATGCAATCGTTTTCAGACTGCAGGTCTCAAAAACAATTCATTGCATTTCAGTCAACTGTTTTTCTTTAATGACCTAGAATAAAATGCAAAAGAAAATTGGGGGGGTTGTAGGCTGGGAGAATGGATCAGTGAACTGAGTGAATACGTGTATGCTGGGGTGTAGCGTGAAAGGTACTTCCTGTGACTCTTGGTCCAAATCGGTTTGAAAGCCACTGAAGTAAAGGTTCAGGAGGATGAGGAGTGGCTCCTGCATTGGTATAGCACAGGGGCACATCGCTTAGACCATGCCAGCAGTGGAGTTACGTAGAGTGACTCGATGGGAGGTGAGCAGCAGCCTGCCCTTTGGGTGTTTAGGGGAAGCAGTTGTCAAAGGGTGCTAGTTAGGTGGGAGGGACCCAGGTGAGGAGCAGGTTGGGAGGGACCATGGGTTCGGTTTGGCCAGGCTCTTTTGGAGATATGTGTGCACAAGGAGGTCTTACAACCAAGCCCAGGACTATCAGCAGTCCTGCTGTCCCTCCTTCATCCCTTTTACCTGCGTTCTAGCAGGTGTGCGTCCTGGGGCTGCACCTGGCCAAGGAGCTGTGTGAGGTGGATGAAGATGGTGACTCATGGCTGCAGGTGACCCGCAGACTCCCCATCCTGCCTACCCTCCTCACTGCCTTGGAAGTGAGCCTTCGCATAAAGCAGAACCTGCATTTCACCGAGGCCTCATTGCACCTGCTACTCACCCTGGCTCGCACCCAGCAGGTGGGGGTCAAACCTGAGGGCTGGGGTGGTTCTGACACATGGTGACATGGCGATTCTCCCTGGGCAGAGTGGCTGTGGGCTCGGGCTGCCACGGTGGTGGAGATCTCACGCCACTCATTCCCTTCCAGGGAGCCACAGCTGTGGCTGGAGCCGGCATCACCCAGAGCATTTGTCTGCCCCTTCTTAGCGTGTACCAGCTCAGCTCCAATGGGACGGTGCAGGTGAGTGCCTGGAACTGGCCCTGGAGTGACCAGGCTACAATTCTTGCTTTAAAACGTGCTCCATTCACTCCTACCACTTCATGCTTTTGTCCTGATGTCTCTTCTCTCTCTTTAGCGATATGTCTACACATTGATGTTAGGGGATTTTCAAAATTTACCTTTAGTAAGAGCAGCTTAACCCCTAAAAGGTACCACGTGGGCTGTGCCTACCACCTGTGGGAGATGGAGTGCAGTCTTTCCATTATAGGCCTAAGGGGTCCAATCCAGAGTGTCATGGGTACAGCCAGGCCAGCTGTCCTTTCCACTCTCCCACTCGGAGCCAGTGGTGCAACATGACTTCTGCTCTGTACTTGCTCCATCTAACAAGGAGTGGGAAAAGAGAAGTGAGTGGGTGGTTGATGGAAGTTCAGTACCCAGTCGTCTCTCTACCTTAGTTGCTTCTAGTTTAGTAAGCAAAAAAAAAAAAATCAATCCAGCTGCTAGAACATGGGCTCTCACTTGTGGCGACTCCATGTGTGCTACAGTGGCACTACCACAGAGTTTCCAACAGCTCTCTTGGTTTGGGATTTGGAGTAGGGGGTGGGGGGAATATCGATCACCAAGCCTTTCTTCCAAGGCTCCTCTGGGTAGACTGGAACTTCGTACCGTTTGGTGAGCCACTGAATGTGTTGACCATTGGCACCACCTAGGGAATTGACTCGTTCACTCAGTGTCTCCCAATCTTAATGTCATCTTCTGCCTAAGAAGTCACGTTATTAGAGTCCTGGAGCGTTGGAAATTTAGCACAGATGCCATTGAGGTGAAGAGCGTGAGAGCCAAGCACCAGGGCAGTGACATAAGTTCACATAGTGTGTGAGTGGCACACCTGAACCTAGAACCCAGGATGTTCAGTATCATCACCTGGTGCTCTTTCCATTCGGCTGTAGCCTCTGACCCTTTCTGGCAGTGCCAGTTGTCAGACAGGTAGATGTGGCTATTTTGGGAGGTTTGCCTATGGGTTCTTGTGATGTCAGGTCCTAATCTTGCCCACCGTTTGTGTCTTAGACACCTAGCACTTATCGCAAGTCCCTAGATGCCCCCTCTTGGCCAGGGGTCTACCGCCTGTCCATGTCCTTGATGGAGAGGTTGCTCAAAACCCTGCGCTACAACTTCCTGACTGAGGCCTTGGACTTCGTGGGTGTTCACCAGGAGCGGACCTTACAGGTAAGGGTGCTACTAGGAGCCCAGGGGTGGAAGTGAGGGTCACCGAGGGTCTGGACCATTTAGGAAGGGGCCCTGAGTGACATAGTGGACTATGTGGGTAAGCTGCTCACTTCAAGGTCAGCAGCTCGAACCCACCAAGCACTCCTCGGAAGAAGATGAGCTTTCTGTTCCTGTGAAGATTTCAAGTCTCAGAAAACCAAAGGGGCAATTCTGCTCTGCCTTGTGGGTCGCTTATGGAATTATGGGAATCCACTTGATGGTGATAAGGTTGGGGCTTGGCAGCTGACTGACAAGTAGAGTGGAGCTGAATGAGGGCAAGGATCTAGAATCAACTCAGACAAAAACCTCTTCATTCAGGGCCATGCCACTAGTTGCTACCATCTCATCTTTTGTGGGCCCAGGGCCTCTGCTCCCCGAAAGAGGACAGGGGTAGATGTGTCAGGTTGCTGATCTTCTCTCCTCCCAGTGCCTGAACGCAGTGAGGACGGTGCAGAGTTTGGCCTGCCTCGAGGAGGCGGACCACACTGTGGGCTTCATCCTGCAACTCTCCAACTTCGTGAAGGAATGGCACTTCCACCTGCCGCAGCTCATGCAAGATGTCCAGGTAGAGGCCTCTGACACCGTTTCTAGGGGTGGTCTGGACAAATGCTTTAGGGACAGGAAAGCAGTGAAATGGAGATCATTTCCTGAAATGGAATTGCTTCAGGAGCACAGGCTTGGGCTTTGTGTTGCTCACTCTTGGAGGTAAAAGGGGCAGCCTTGTAGGTTAGGAACTTTTGATCAGAAAGAAGACCTTGCTTCAGGTCCCTTAGGAGCAAGCCCAAGGCTGGGAACCATCCAGAGAAAGGAGACAGGGAAAGTCAGGTTCCAGAGTTGGGCAGGTGCCTTTTCATTGGCTGCTTGTGAAACCTTGTCCAAGTCAAGACACCTGTCTTCCTAAACCTTCATCTTTTCCTGGAAGGTTGGCATTAGTAACTTCCATCTTATTTACCTAAGAGCTTCTGTTGCCTAACACGTGGTCCGTGTGGCCCGGGGTTTGCTTTCTCGCGGCCTGTTAGCTGCTCAGTGGGTATTTAGTACACAGGGTCCTGTGTAGCTGGTCTAATCAGCTGCCCGGGGCTGCTTCCAAGCAATTCTCCCGTCATACTCCCTTGTGTTTCTCAGGTAAACTTATGTTACTTATGCCAGGCCTGTACCTCCCTCCTACATAGCCGCAAGATGCTGCAGCACTGCTTACAGGTAACTCAGCCCACTCTCCCAGCTGCCCCGAATGCCCCATCCCATCCCTAGCTGCCCTCTGCCCCACTTTCATTTCTTTACTCTCCCCCAGAACAAAAATGGGGATGCCATGCCCTCAGCAGTCGGCCCCCGAGGCCAGCGGCCACCCACAGCTGCCCCGGCGGCTCCCTCTTGCTCTGCCTCCAAGCAGCAGACTGCTGACACAGAGGCCGCGCAACAGCGAGCCCTGCACACTGTCCAGTATGGCCTTCTGAAGATCCTCAGCAGGACTCTGGCAGCCCTGCGCCACTTCACTCCCGATGTCTGTCAGATCCTGCTGGATCAGGTACCAGACGCACCCCGGGCGCCCCCCAAGCCTCGCAGAAAGGCATTGCTGTGCTCAACTCAGTCCTTGAGAGCCATCCTAGCTGGCCTCTCCTTTCTTGTCTCACAGTCCCTGGACCTTGCTGAGTACAACTTTCTATTTGCCCTAAGCTTCACCACCCCCACCTTTGACTCCGAGGTGGCCCCTTCCTTCGGGACCCTTCTGGCCACAGTGAACGTGGTTCTGAACATGCTTGCAGAGGTACGTGTGGGGCTGTGGGCTTCTTACCTTGCAGCCCAGCTCCTCCTCCAGTTTGCCACTTCGGAGCTCTGACCGTGCGTGGCACATTATCCACCCATCCCAAGCTGCTCCCCTTCATAAAATGACTCTGATAGAACCTGCCTGTTGGAGGTATCGTGAGGGTCCACCGGGGTAGCTGTTAAGTTGCTCCGCGTAGCCCTGGCAAGTAGGATGCGCTCAACAAATGGGACCATTCGGGTGTTCACCTTCAGGCTCTGACCTATTGCGGTCTCTCCTCTAGCTGGACAAGAAGAAGGAGCCCCTCACGCAGGCCGCAGGGCTCAGCACACAGGTGGAAGGGACCAGAACATTAAAGTAAGACCTTTTGCAGTTGGGTCTGGGTTGGGAAGTCATGGGGCAGCCGGCTCTGTTGAATAGCCCACCCTGTGCCCACCTGCTCAGCCCTCCCTCAGAGCAGTGAGTGCCTGAAGTTTCTTCTGTCTTCCAGGTCCCTCCTGATGTTTACTATGGAGAACTGCTTTTACCTGCTCATCTCCCAGGCAATGCGGTACCTGAGGGACCCAGCTGTTCACCCCCGAGATAAGCAGCGCATGAAGCAGGAGCTCAGCTCAGAGTTGGTACATATCATTAGTAGGATCCTGAGGGAGGGGCCTGGGCTGGGAGCGAAAAGGCCCCTGGAGTCTCCCCTGGCCTCCCACTTCCGACAGACGCTGAGCCCAGGTGGACGCTGGGCCTGAGACACTGGCCTTCCTCAAGCTGTTCTTTTTCCTCACAGAGCACGCTGCTCTCCAGCCTCTCACGCTACTTCCGTCGGGGAGCACCCAGCTCCCCTGCTGCTGGCATCCTCCCCTCGCCTCAGGGCAAGTCCACCTCTCTCTCCAAAGCCAACCCTGAGAGTCAGGAGCCTCTGATCCAGCTGGTGCAGGCCTTCGTCCGGCATGTACAAAGATAGGGCAGGGGCATGCTGCCTACCACTCTCTGCCAGCCTGTGGTGCCCATCAGCGCCTGAGTACGGCCCCATTGCCCTCTCCAGAGTAGCCACGATTCCAACCTCTCACCATGGTCAACAGCGGGGATGGGGAGCCCAAGGCCCCATGTGCAGGTCCTCACATTAAAGAGGCCCCAAAGAAGTGAATTCCTTTCCTTCCAGCATTCCCCATAGCACTTGACCCCACCAGGGAGAGGCCGGGGACCAGTGCCAGGTGCAGTTCAAGAGGAAGACTGTGTGCACGGGTTTGAATATGTTTTCCATGCTCTGTTCTTGCAGTTTTTTGGTAATACTGTGGTCTATTTATACGAATATTAAAGTACTGTTTATAGACAGCTGTGTGCTAAGTGCCTTCAAAGCCCCAGACCCACTAGCCAGCTTTCAGGACAGAGACCTGGGGCAGGGAAGGTGGGATTTTTGCTGGTTGGTAATCGCCACAGACGTCCTTGCACAGGTGGTCCTCAGTTGGGAGTGTTGGGTGGGATGTTGGCAGATTTTCCCTGCTTTGGCCTGCTCCAGGTTCCTGCCCCAGCCCTCCTCCACAGACCAGCTGGCTGAGCTTATCACTGGGTGTAGCTTTTCTGGAAGCTGTACTCCTTCCTATTTGTAGCTCTGTGCCCCTGCCCTCCTGGCTCCCTCTCTCCACTAGCTCCAGCAGCCAGGCAGGCTAGACCAGGGCCTCCTGAGGACCTAAAATGTTAGACCCTCCAACATACAGCCTTGTAGCCAGAGCCACCCATTTGAACAAAAATCACACTCACCTGGACTTGAGCCATTGCTTGCCTATTTGCCAACTATAAGGGGGTGACTAGCTGATCCATTCTTCCTTGCCTAGGTGATGGGGCATGACCTCCCTCCTGTGTTTCTGTGGTAATGTGTCGGGATGTCACCACGGGAACACGGGAGAGCATGCTTGACTCACGCCTGGCCCACAGAAAGTGACAGCCGGTAGTGACTGCGTAATCCGTCTCGTGTGCGTTTTTTTGTTTTTCAATTTTACAGCTCTTATCACAATCCATACCATCATCCATTGTGTCAAGCACATTTGTACATATGCTGCCATAGTTTTCAAAATATTTTCTTTCTACTTGAGTCCTCTATATCAGCTCATTTTCCCCCCTCCCTCCCCCACCTGTCCTTCCTCACAAACCCTTGATAAGTTATAGATTATTTTTTTCCTATCTTAAATCGTCCTCTGTCACCCTTCACCCACTTTTCTGTTGTTTGCCCTCCTTGGAGGGGATTATATGTTGATCCTTGTGATCAATTCCCTTTCTCCCCCCACCTTGCAGTTATCCTCCTGGTAGCTCTATTCTCATTGATGGCCCTGAGGGGTGTATCTATCCTGGATCCCCTGTGTTGTGGGCTCTTATCTATAGCAGTGTGCATGTTCTGATCCAATCTGATTTGTAAGGTAGAATTCAGGTCATGGTAGTAGGAGGAAGGAAGCATTAAGGAACCAGAGGAAAATTGTGTGTTTCATTGGTGCTATACTGCACCCTGACTGGCTCATCTCTTCCTTGTGACCCTTTTGTGAGGGGATGTCC